TAGTTAACTAGTGGGCACATTTTCACCCTCGATATTTAACTAGTTGACACAAACATGTCTAACTAGTTAACTAGTGGACAGAAATGGCTTACATGTTCATGACAATTCTGGCTGATATCCTGATATCAGAATAAATGCTCATTTGGCTTGCCATAGATGTGTGCATTGTGTAGAAGGATGATTAAATCAGAGCATGTGCTGGTGAAGGTTTTCAGTCATCCAGGTCATGGTAATTGAAGGGGTTCGAATGAAGGCAACTGGGCTTCTTTTGGTTTCGTGAAGACGTTTCGCTTCTCTTCTGAGGTGCTTTGTCAAGCGATCTATCTATATGTCCTATATCTATGTCAAAATGGGAAAGACGGACATTAAACAGAGGAGGAGGTCTCAGGTTTCACCTTTCCAGTACCTACAGTGCAGCTTTAAACCTAATTGTTTGAATGCTGTTAAGCATTCATTGTTTGAATGCTGTTAAGCATTCAAACTATTGTTTTCCTCTTTTCTTCTTATTCTGCTTCCGTACACTTTTTGAACCTCTTCTTCTCCTTCAAATTTTGAGCTATTTCAACAATTTTATATCAAAATGTTCAGCACGTTAAGCTCTTTCCGGCTATTACTTTTGGCATTGATATCTTTAAATTTTTTCGAGTTATTAAGCTTTTCCTGCGAAAAATTTCCCATTGAAATGAGTGGGATTGGTCAATTTTCAGCAAATTCCTATCACTTTTTTGACCTAAAACTCTATAGGGTTCCTTTTAACTTAGGGACTTCATTCAAAGTTTAACAGACTCACACGACTTTCCTGTTTAAAATATTAAAGAGGCTTTTTGATATCTTTTACGGTTTTTCTAAAATCGCAGGTAGAAGTTGAGGTACTACTTGAAATTTTCAGAAAAATTCACAAAAGTTATAATGGGGAAAGATAGGAGCAGTGACCCTCCCTTGCTCCATTTCCGGCGTTGTCCTGAGAGAACCGTAGGTCCGATTGAAATGAGACACATACTGGCTTACAGCTAACGAATATGCCTTCGTTTTGAGCTATAATCCATGACTGTACTCCAAACATTGTGGTCGTACGGTTCATTTGTTTGAGAAAATTCAAATTTAAAAAAAGGTCTCTCTTCACTCTAAATTGAAAATTCCGCACTCAAAGTTTTGAACTTCACATCTTCTGTGAACAACTCTTTACTACCCCCAGACCGTTTGGACTACTAAAACAAATTATATCTCAAAAAGTAGGAATTTTTGTCAGCTTTTCAGAATGGGTTTCATTTTATCTGTAATTGTTACCCTTCGTTCGCTACAAGCCTCAGAAAGAGGTGAGGCCCAGCTTTTCTCTCATTGAAACCCATGTTAAAGGAACAGAGATTTTCTCCTCTGATCGGCTTCAGACAGCTAAAAGTTTCTCGTCATAGCTTCTAGACAATTCATGGTAGGCACATAAAAATTGTCACAGATGATCATCAAAGTCTTCTGCCACTCGCGCTTTTTGAATTTTTTGAATTGGTGCAGTACTTTTCGAATGGTGATGAGAAGTTTGACAGGTCCAATTTCACTTCTGAAGGACAGATTTAAAGGCTTCTCTCATTAACAGGAGTACAGCTGCAGGCCTAAAAATAGCTGGGGGAAAAGGCAGTGCTGCTCTCTGATTGGTTGCGAGTGTTCAACCATTTTCTGTCCAATCAGGATCCAGCACCCACACAAATGATGCATCAACCGACCAGTTTGGTCTCATGAATCATGTATTCAATTTAAAATGCGTTATATGTTACCATGACAACACAAGGAACTACAAATCACTTTAACCAAGTCTCATAGGAATGAATATAAAAAGCAGAATATTGAGCCATTAACAGACTCCTGTTTTTGATCGTTTTGAACTGTTTGTACTTAAAACTAGAAAAAAGTTCAATTTGATTGACCGTCAGAAGGTGGGAAAGTGCCCCGCTCCCTCTCAGCTCCCTGATTGGTTGAGAGAGGTAAATCATCTTCTGGCTAAATGGAATTACACACCCACGCATGTGAGACATCAAATTGATCGGCTTGGCCTAAGGAATCCATCCATCTACATATGAATCCATACATGTTTCTATCTTTCCATCCATCCATCCATCCATCCATCCATCCATCCAATAAACCATCTAACATCCATCCAACAATCCATCCGTTATTTCATTCATCCAACCCTTCATCCATCCCATATCATATCTGAACATATGTTAATCTATCAGTTTCAGATATCAGCAAATATTTCTCAATTCACAGTCCAGCCAATTGTAAAAATGTACCCGTTAAACTATCCTCATTCAAATGCCAGCTGTTTAACATTTCAAATTTCGAGTTTTTAATAAATGTTCAAAGATTAAAATTGTCTGCTGTTTAGCATTTTTCTCCATTCTTCACCTATATTCTGAGCTTTATTACACTTGTTGGTGATTTTTGCTTCTAAATCTTTAAATACATTCAGCTCATTTTGACAGTTTAGCTTAGTTTCAGCTTCACCTCAGCTATTCAGCAGCTTCAGCAATCCGTTTCTGAATTTGGCTTATGCTACTCATTTCACAGTTCAACTAAACATAAAAAGTAAACTGTTAAACTAGTCCTACTGAAATAACAGGTGTTTAGACATTTTAGCTGTCCAATTTTTTTAAACAGTGTTCACAGATTTGAGTTTTCTGCTATTTAGGATTAGTTTTCTTGATTCTTCACTTACTTTTTGTGCTTTTTTTTTTTTTTTTTTGCTTCTTGGTGCTTTTTGCTTTCACATCTTTCACTACATTCAGCTCATTTCACAGTTTAGCTTAGTTCCAGCTTACTTCAGCTATTCAACAACTTCAGCAATCAGTTACCAAATTTAGCACAAACTGTTAATTTCACAGTTCAGCTAAATGTAAAGATTAAACTGTTAAACTTGGCAAACTGAAATAACAGGTATTTAGACATTTTAGCTGTCCAGATTTTTAGACAATGTTCACAGATTGAAGTTATTATTATTATTATTATTATTTGCTATTTAGCATTATTTTTCTCTATTCTTCACTTACTTTTTGTGCTTTATTTGCTTTTTGGTGCTTTTTGCTTCTACATCTTTCAATACATTCAGCTCATTTTGACAGTTTTGCTTAATTTCAGCTTCAGTTCAGCTGTTCAGCGGCTTCAGCTCACAGTTTCAGCTATCCAGCATTCAAACAGCATTTATGCAGTAAATGCAATTTTTCTAGTTCCAAAATTGTTTCAGTCTAGATCACACCCATTTGGATCTGATCAAAACAACCATTCCCACACAATAGATCCTAACGACTTCTACAACTCTTCAGTGGGCAGGGAGGAGAGACATTCAAAAGTAGTTTCTGCTCATTAAGCAACAGTTTGTAAGTTTAACCAATCCCATATTCCAGTCAGAAATGACAAAGCTCCTCGAATGTGAAACGACACATCTTCAAGAAACCCAAAAAGTGCAGTTGCCTTCTTTTGAACCCCTTTGGAAAATCACAGCATGCTTACAAAATTCAAAGTAACCAAATATGTATCAACCAGTTGTTTTTCTAGATTTGATTTATTTTTTATTTTTGGGAATCAAATTCCAATTAGGCATACAAATTAGAAAGATCTCACTTTTCATCCATTCTTATGGTGTTTATTCTGTTATTCTGATTGGCAGAGGGATCACCAAGTCTGTTCATCATAATTCAGTTCAGTGAGGTTATTGTTTAATAAATAAATAATACACTTCTTGTGTTTCTGCACAGTAGAATAAGTGAGTAAAAGAGTTTACTCTTAAAAGTACATTTTCTGATTCAGGGATTTAGATACCATGGGAGTTTTTCCACAGCAGCTTCTCAAAGTGAGCTTGCTGCCACCTGCTGGATAAAACATAGTAATGCTACAACCCTTTTAAGCTTTTCACTATGAAAAACTGTTTTTGACCAAATAAACTTGTAAAATGACACTTGAAACATACTTAAATAGTATTGTTTTGTGTCTAATCTATAGTTTAATTTTTAGTCTGAATCTTTAATCTGAATTGTGTCGATGACCCAGATTAATACATTATTCATGTTCTCAAATCATCAGTTTTCTGCAGTTAAAACCAATGTTGCTCCTGCAGCCTTTTCTTTTCTGGTTCGGTTCAGGTGTCAGGGGGAGGGGTAAAAGAGCTGAAAGGATCACAGCAGAAGGCCACACGATAGTGATAGTACCTACACAGACACAAATAAAACGTGAGTGTCGTGGTAACCTGGATTGTTTTCAGAGAAACACTGAGCTCAGTAACCAACCAGCACATGCACAGGACTCATAAAATAATTGTTTTATCAGAGTTATTCGTCGAATCCCTGTCATTTCAAACAAGAGAAGCAGCTTAAATGATTTAAATAGGATTTATTTTAAATGAGAGTTTCCACTTGTCTTATGGTGTTTGAAAAATAAAAAAGGAAAGCTTTTGAAGTCCAAGTATGTCCAGTCTCAGATCTGTCCTGAGCTTACTGATCCAGAGACTGAGCAGATGAATCTCTGTCTGGATCGAAAAATAACCAGAAAAGACAGGAGGCCTCTGGAGATGAGGGATGGGCACGTGGAAACAATCTCTGCAGCCAGCATATGTGGGTCAGCAGTGGCATATGGTGGTTCTCAGCAGCAGAGCTAAGGCATGTCTTCACAGCCAGCTGAGAAACAAGCAACCTGTGTGACAGATTGTCCATTTTGTTCCTTCCAGTCAAGAATGGGGACAGTTAGTCTGTTCAAACAGAGGTCAGAGTCATTTGCCAGAGGACTCAACTCAAACACATCCTGTTCGTGTGTTAGCGCTTATGCACTCCACATCCTCGATAACATCCTTGATAGATTACGATGATTTTAATCCCCCTAAGATTCTCAAACAACGGAGCTCAGGGAGAAACGGATATTCTATTTTCTCAGGTTGTTCAGTGGATTATGTCTTCTTTCAACTTTCATCTAGTCTCTTAATCCCCTTTCCTTCTTTTTTCTCCTTTTTTTCATGCCAGGTACGAAGCAGAGAACGCTTTTTTCTTCAATCTCAACCTAGCTGACTTCAACATCATCGACACTCTGGGGGTTGGTGGCTTTGGACGCGTTGAGCTGGTATGGATGCACACAATGCTGCAAAGTGACTGTGATTTTAGTTTTTATTTGGACGTGTGCAGGTTCATATGAACTTTGTGTCTGTAGGTTCAGCTCAAGAGTGACGAGAACAAGACCTTTGCCATGAAGATCCTGAAGAAGCGGCACATTGTTGACACAAGACAGCAGGAGCACATTCGTTCAGAGAAGCTCATAATGCAAGAGGCCCACTCTGACTTTATTGTTAGGTACAGTTTTTTAAAATGATGTGAAAATCACCAGAAATATAAACTTTATTAATCTGAATATAGAAATGACTGAGTTTGATTCCAATAGCTTTAGCTGCAGGGTTCGCTCTCATTTCATAAAACTCAAAACAAACTTCTAATTAACGCCGATTTCCTTTTGTTGCATTGCAGAAATAAAAAAAAACAACCTAATCCCAATTCTAAAACACATTTTAATGCAACAGAGTTCTTAATCTGAGTTTGGTGTGTGTCTAGTTTAACCAAACCAGAGCCCTCAAAATCTGAGAGGCAACAAAAACAATCTGAAAGTTTTGGGTACGGCTTAAAATTTGGTTTGAAATTTGGAAATTTCTTTGTTTTTCTATTCACAACATAATTTTAGTGTAAAAATAGTGTTCTTTTGTTTTTACTATTGTTATTCTGAAAATGAATAAAGACACATTTAGACTAGCTGCTTTATGATAAGGACCTGTAGGAAAATGTTAAAGAGCAAGTCACCCACCACCAGACTCTTACTCCACTCCCACTTCCTGTTTGAAAAATGCAACAAATGCCGTTGACTGGCAGACCAAGAGGGCGGAGCCTAATACACACACACAGGCTCACAACAACATTGTGACATCATAATGTACCAGCTAACACCATAGTGTACCTCTTAGCGATAGCACAGAAGAAGGGATGATATGTATTTTTTCTGTTTGTGGTATTTAAAAAAAATTATGTATGTTTTCTTTGTTTGAAATAAACTAAACTAATAATAACATTCTAATGCAGTGCAGAATTTTTACCTGAAGAGGGCGCATCACTGACAGTTTTAGGCAGACTATTTAAATTTTAACTGAGATGCACTAAAGTGCCATATTATTGACTACACATGTCTACAGCACAATTAGACACTCATTATCAGCAAAACCAGTTGATTTGGGGGTGACTTGCTCTTTAAATTTCAGATGTATGAGAAAATAATTTTCATTTTTTTTTCATTTTTAGACTATATAGAACCTTCAAAGACAGCAAATACCTCTACATGTTGATGGAAGCGTGTTTAGGAGGAGAGCTGTGGACCATCCTTCGAGATCGGTAAGATTTATGACTGATGTGATGAAACCCATTTAAATTCTAAATGTGTAAAATAAAGAAAAGCTTTATTAGACTCAAGATCAAGCCTTCCTAGAAATGTAAATCTATAGGACATGGGGCAGAATCTATGGTTGTCTTTCACTGCATGCAACTGGACAGCGCTTGGACCAATCAGAGCAACAAACGTGACATATTCATAGTGATAGAAACCAATTAGCAGGTCAGTTCACCATAAGAAGAACTGCTATCTCCTTGTGTCATTAAGAAAAGCCCAATCATTCAAAGCTGATGCCAACGCCGTTTCAAACAAGCACCATTCCTGAGCTGCCACCATCTTTGTAGTTTGTTCTCCATCGTAGCTCGGCCGCACTGCTGGACTGACCATAGGGCATAGCGGGCAACTGCCCGCTGGGCCGACCCTTTCATCTTTTATGGGCCGGTGTCTGTTTTTTTTTTTTTTCCCCTGGCCTCTAGTTGTTGCAGACAACTTGTCCGCGCCGCCCCACGCGACGCCTCGTAAAAGTTGGTGGATTGGCCAATTGGTAATAATACACTCTGGGCTGGACCAATAGCCAGAGGTCTGATGCACCCGCCAGTTGTTTGTGAATCTCAGTAAACAGACAGACGAGCTTTACAAAATGGAGAACAAAAAACGGAAAGGAGGAGCGGAGAAAATTCGACTAAAAAAGAAACTGGCCCTTCAGGCTGGCTGATGCTGGCACATGTGTTAAAATCTCACAGTTGTTTGGTAGTGAAGGTTCAAGTAAAATCAATTTAGGAAGTGATGGAGCCTCAGCCCAGCGACAGGTTGGAGAAGAAAAGAGGGAGGAGGAGGAGAAACCCGAGCCGGTGTTGTGCCATAAATTGACTCGCTGCCAAAAAATGATTAGCCACCGCGGGATCGCGCACGGTTAGGTAATTGCATTTCTAGACAAAATTCCCCAGGATTTCGCCCTAAAACTCAGCATATCTAGCAATATGGACATTCAGAAAGCAAAGATAACCTCTTCCGGTACTTAAACAGATGTTTATCGCGGATATTAGTGTGGCAGTGTTTGTGGCACCCTGCGCGGGAGCACGAGGACGTGCTTGTGGAAAGAGGGAGGAAGATGTGGCAGTGTGAGCATCCTGTCACAATGTCTTGATTGATCTTGCACCCTGTATAGTTGGTCAAGGGGATGTTCCTTTGGCTGACTGGTTAGAGCGTATGACTCTCACCCCGAAAGTCTAGGGATCGAATACAACCCGGGCCGTCGTTTATCCACCTTGCCACGTTAGTTTTTCCAGTTCGGAAGTTGTTTTAAGTGTTGCTAATTGTCTTAAACGTTCACAATGAGGATATATTAATCCTTTTTGCAATATTTGCGATTGAAAGATGGTTTGTGGTAAGAACTGGCTTTCTTTATGTTACAGCCTTGATACTAAAAAAATAAATAATGTAAAATGGCACCCTGTATTGAATGTAAACGTTGTATAAATGTAAATAAACAATTCTCCAGCGATTTAATTTTTTCCCCTTCCTTTCTTTAGTCCACTTGACATGGAGCCACAGTTAACTAGTTTGGGGCACATTTTTACTTGGAAAAATAGTATTTAAACTGATCAAGCTTTGGCTTTACAATGACACTGTGTAAGTTGCTATTCATTACATTGCTCTATTTAAAAGTAACAAGATAAAAGCTCTTCAGCACATACAATTAAGATTGGTCACTTGCCAGATAGACTACACCCTCCCGTTTACCTATAAGAAACGCCTCAAAATATCTTTAAATTCTTTATTGATGATTTAATTGTAGACAACTAAAATGGCATTTTACTTGCCAAAAAGTGATTGAATCGCTCAGATTTTCATGGAGGCTAAAATGGACCAAATAAGGGTTTTATGTATTATCTGTTGATGTTACTGTACTCATACTGCCTACTGTATCATCAAAAACACCCCAAAAATGGCAAAAAAAAAAAAAAAAAAAAAAAAGATAATTTCCCTTGCCAAAAATTGATTACAGTGTCCTGGTCACCTGTAAAGGGTTACATTTACCTAAATATTACCTTATTTATTATCTCTTGATGTTATTAGTGCCATCACAGGTTGCTGGGTCTCTTCATAAACACCTCAAAAATGGCAACAAATGATGATTTCCCTTGCCAAAAATTCATTACAGTGTCCTGGTCACCTGTAAAGGGTTAAATTTACCTAAATATTACTTTATTATCTCTTGATGTTATTAGTGCCATCACAGGATGCTGGGTGTCTTCCACATTCATAAACACCTCAAAAATGGCAACAAATGATCATTTCCCTTGCCAAAAATTGATCACAGAGTCCTGGTCACCTGTAAAGGGTTAAATTTACCTAAATATTACCTTATTTATTATCTCTTGATGTTATTAGTGCCATCACAGGATGCTGGGTGTCTTCCACATTCATAAACACCTCAAAAATGGCAACAAATGATCATTTCCCTTGCCAAAAATTGATCACAGTGTCCTGGTCACCCATAAAGGCTTAAATTGGCATAAATATTACTTCATTTATTATGATGCTGGGTGTGTTCCACAATCATATTCGAATAAACATGAAAATATTCCGTCCGAATATCTGTTTCTTGTTATAAATATAACAGCTAGAAGGATTTACAGTTAAAATAGGAGAAACATTTCAGGAAACTATTGTCAATTAACCACAGAAATAGGGACTAATAACATCAAGAGATAATAAATAAGGCAATATTTAGGTAAATTTAACCCTTTACACTTGACTCCCCAGGAAGGGTCGTAACACCACTTGCCTCATGCACATAAGTGACCAAAACAAAGCAGCATGGAGACACTCCGTCTCCAACCACCTCTCAGGCAGCAGCCTGCACTCCCAAGTTCTACACGTCACCAGAACATAAACAACCGCAACACAATAAAAGCAGTGTTATACAAAATGGAAGGCCTGTAGTGTTTATTCTCTTACAGTAACAACTTATCAATTTTTTGGAGGAATTTATTTAAGATTTTTTGGTTTTTATTAATTGTGCAATAGAAAAATAATCGCTAGATTAATCATCTAAATAGTCATTAGAATAGTTGACTATTCGATAAAATAATCGTCAGAATAATCATTTTAAAAATAATCATTTACCCCCAACCCTACTTTTTTAGAATACCAGGATAGGAAGGATGGTGTAGGTTTACGTTTATTAGATTGATACATAAATATTACCAATAAGAAAGTGTACGTTGGTGTGTGTCAGAAACAGCGTAAGGCTTAATGTCTTTTCCAAAAAAACCAGGTGATGGGCCGGTCTCCAATCAAAATGCCCGGGCTGAATTTTTGTCCCAGTCCAGCCCTGCTCGGCCGTCATCGTAAAAAAATTAAAAAGCACTGCCATAATGGTGCTAAGCCTGCCCAGTCTCTCTCTACAAACATAGAGCACAGCGATTGGCCCAACCTAAACTTAGGCCAGCCAATGGTAGATCTGCTGAGGCTCCAGTGGAGTGTGGCTTACTGACCTGCAGAGCAAAGTCTTTTGCTATTGTAGCAGTTTGTTTATATTTCCAGGCTAATCTCAGGAAAAACATCATCTTTTTGGCTCTCATTACCATCCCCTCCCCTCATTTTTCCTGCTGTTTTTCCAGAGGCTCGTTTGAGGACTCAACCACCAGGTTTTACACCGCGTGTGTGGTGGAGGCTTTTGCTTATCTTCATTCCAAAGGTATCATCTACAGAGACCTGAAACCAGAGAACCTTATATTGGACCACAGGGGTTATGCCAAACTGGTAAGAAATCAACGTGTAATCACCACCCGTCCTAATAAGGTTGTCTGTCAGCTTTGAAATGAGTAAATGATGCAAACAGGAGAAATATTCTCACACTCTGGTCTCACAATTCAATTCAATTCAATTCAAAAATACTTTATTAATCCCAGAGGGAAATTGATTGAAAAACTATGTGGATTTTCGTCATTATTTCACTCTCGATAAGAATATAGGAATAAAGAAAAATAATAATAAATTGATAGATAATGCTGTCATCTATGGTAAATGGCCTCATATAGAGTCCTAGAACTGCCCTCCTGACATTTCTCCATATTTTACTAAACAACAAGACAACAAAACAAATACCTTTATTACTGGTAAATTTTGATGAAAATATTCCTTTTGTCCTCAGGTGGACTTTGGCTTTGCCAAAAAGATTGGGTTTGGGAAGAAAACGTGGACTTTCTGTGGAACACCAGAGTACGTAGCACCGGAAATAATCCTAAACAAGGGCCATGACATCTCAGCCGACTACTGGTCTCTGGGGATTCTCATGTTTGAACTGCTAACCGGCAGGTACAGACGATACCAGACATGTTTGTTTACTGAGTATCCAATGTGATGGGATGCATCATATTAAGCATTGAGATGTTTCTGAAAACACGTTTAAAAACTGACACGGCCTCCTTTGTGCAGTCCTCCATTCTCTGGTCCTGATCCAATGAAAACATACAACATCATTCTGAGAGGCATCGATATGATTGAATTTCCAAAGAAAATTACCAAAAACGCTGCCAACTTAATCAAAAAGCTATGCAGGTGAGGCTTTGTGCATCTAGCGTTTAGACATCCACTTGATTACTTTTTGTGCTGAATGTTTGTATTTGTCTTTATTTTAGGGATAATCCTTGTGAAAGACTGGGAAACTTGAAAAACGGTGTCAAAGACATCCAAAAGCACAAGTAAAGAAGCGTTTCACCTTCTGTTTTTATTTCATTTTCATTGTGTTCATGTGATATTTGACTTCAATCTGTTTGCAGATGGTTCGAGGGCTTTAATTGGGAGGGCCTAAAGAAGGGGACTCTGACACCTCCTATTGTCCCCAATGTAAGTGCTCAGTCCTGGCTACCTCATGCACAAATGAATAAACTCTAAAATCTTTTTATTAAAGACTAAGTATTTCATCTTTTTCCTTTGTGTAAGGTCACATCACCAGTTGACACGAGTAACTTCGATAGCTTCCCGGAGGACAACGAGGACCCGCCTCCTGACGACAACTCCGGCTGGGACGTTGACTTTTGAAGCCTACACCTAAAACCAAAAGAAACTTCTTTTGTTAGGCTTTTGATGACTTGGAGGCCATCTTGGAGGATCGGTTTCACAGGAAAAACAGAAACTGGATTCAACGAAGGAGAAGATGTGGAAACGAAGATAAACAGATGGATGGCAAACCCTCTGGGTCACCGATATGCCTTTTTTTTCCACTGTGGCTCTGGACAAAGCATTTTATAATGGGACTGCTGTAGCACTTCCTCAGTGTTGTCTTACACTCAAGTTTATAGGCAAAGGCAAAGATAGTACAGGGATACACACACACAAACACACACACACACACACACACACACACATTGGAGGCTGATAGTAGAGCCAGCTTTTCTCATGTAACAGGGAAATATGTTTAATAGATGAATGAATGTTTGATCACACGTCTAAGTTGTCATTTTAGGACAAGTAAAAGTGAAAATGTGGATGCTAGATTAAAGAGAGAGAAGTCTGTGGTTAATTTACTCCTTTCAGTTTGTACTTTTGTGGTATTTGGTGAAATAATTGCTGAACTTTAGGACGAGACTCAACGTTACTGCGGCCGCTTCTCATGTGCAACTCCGTCCTTTGTCCAGAAATGTGCACACTATAGTCTGCAAGTGCTCAAGACTGACCTGAATGTCAACGATCTTCGTATCTAGCACACTTATTTGGCGCACACAGAGGATGACGCAGAGAATTAGAACTACACCAAGTTCCACTGACACAAGTGACCACAACTGGGAGGAAATCAGATACTTGGCACGCTTTGTGTGAGATTTCTCTCTCTCTTGAGAAGCACAAGCACTGCGCATTCAGTGTGTGTGTGTGTGTGTGGGGGGGGGGGGGGGGGGGGGGAATGACGTTTAAGTGCCCTGATTAAAGTTTAACAAATCACACACCTGCATCGATGACAAGTTAGCAAGAATTCCCATGAAGCAGTATGTCATTATGCACTTAAGACCATTAACAGAGAAAACTATAGCTCGTTTCAAGCTTTTGTATCAGTTGAACTCTTTGATTTTATATCACAAACGGATGCTTCTTTTTTTGTCTTTTGTTTTCAAACCAGTTCAGTGCGTCTCCCCACGAAGCAGATGTTCTCCGTTTGCTCTTGTACAGATCTGACAAAACTGTGAACATGGTTCCATTGTCTTTGGTGCTTTTGGTGACTAAGCAATGTTGAGATGACTGTACTGGTTATTGTTTTTGTATTGTAGTTCTTTTTTTCTGTGCTCTATTACTTTGTAATGCACTTGATGTCATTCTCTAGAGTATTTGAGACTCGTGTGAGTATTCCAGCGCACGTAAAGATCTTGACACCACATTACATTGTGCTTAGCGGTATTTTTAGGGAGTTTCAATGAGATCATTTGTTAAATTTATCCCCTCGTTTTACACCTTTTCCTCATTTTCAGGAGTAAAATTGACCAAATTCACACTATCTGGAGATAAACATGCCTCAGCATCATCTAGTGATTTTACAGTTCATATTAGCGAGCGACAACAAAAAGAAAAGCAAAATATTTTATGAAGAATCATCTTTATACCCCTCAATCATCACCTAACACACTCGAAAGTGTAAAAAAAAAAAGATTGTAAGTGCCTTAAGTCAACGGCATATGAAATCAACATTAAACGACCTTTGCAATGCTGCATGAACACATATACACCTCAGAAACACGCGCCCTCTAGGTGACTGCTCTTCGTTCTTTATTACTAACCAAAAAAGATCATCTTTGGTCATCCGAAGACTTAAAAACGGCATATTAAACACAATTTCTGTTTCGTCTTTGATTTATTTCTTGGGAGCATTTTTAAATATCTGGCACTCCGGACCGAGCTGCAATGACATGCTTATCTCTTCTCGCCTGTATTAAGAAGTAAACCACTTATGGCCTGATATGAAACACCAGTAATCACAACTCAGAAGGATCATCTCTCATCTCTTTTAGCCATAAATATCTGAGCATTTAGAGAGGGCAGGAATGATTTGCAGGTTTCCAATTTGATCTCAATCTCATTAATCCAGCATTGTTTTTATTTAGTTGGAATAAAGCTGATCAGATTAACATTTAGAGATCTAAATTCTGTACATATATGTGATGTGTTTTATTGTGTTACTGGCAGGTTCATGGATGTCACAATGCCTTATGTTTGTCACCACTTTCCAAAAACACTGATTTGCGTTTTTCTCGGCTGCCTTCTGCAACCTGACGTTTGCCTTGTGTTATGTTGTTTCTTCCTGCTGTACATTGATTTTGCCGAGTGCCGCGCGTAATATTTTTGAAATTATAGAGTAAAAACAATCATTTTGAGTGGTGTTTGTCTCTTAGTTCTTTAAAAGAATGACCATTTTAAATCGCTTTGCATTCTGCAGTACTTGCCACACGAGAGCGCTCTTGCTTAGAACATAAAAAGTAAAAAAAAAAAAAAATGCTTCAACCTTGTGTGAACTGCTTCAAATGCCTTGAGATTTAATAATCAGTCCTGGAGGTAATGCCATCCACTTAGAGTTAAGTGGAGATGATCTCATGGTCTCCGTGTTATTCGCACAACAAATCTGTTTTAAGGGAGGGGAGGGGGGACAGGGAAATGGTTTCAGTCATAACAACAGGGCGACACTTCTGGGAGATCAAAGGGAATCAAAGTGCATCAAAGGAGTTCACTTTACCTGCACCGGCATTTAGTAAGGTGGAGATAAAAGCTCCACTTCAAAAGATATGCAGCAATTTAAACGCTCAAAGTGCTGCTGCGCTTGTCAGATGTCCACGGAGCACCTTGCACATGTACGCACGCGCACGCACATGAACGCATGCACTCACACTCAAACGTGACCAGCAGATGACGTCCAAGGGCCAAGTTAAAGGGGATCGACCCAAACTTCAGCACCTGTCAGATTTTATTCATCAGGGGGGACATATCTAATCAATGCTGCTTGATTTAAACTTTTTCTTTTAATTGGCTGATTTTATTTGTCAGAATAAACATCTGAATAAACAAATTCAGTAAAGTTTGGCTCTGGAGCCCAAAGGGGTGATGAAGAGATCAGATCAGAGTCTCCTTTAATCTCCAAGTGCCAGTCAGCACTGAAAGGCCTCCTCGCGGAAGTCCGTTAATTCGGTAAACTATTCACACCCTGTAATGGTCTGCATATCCCACACATTTGATGTGCGCCGCTGGTGGATAACTGCGACCTTTGTAATCAGGAGGATCAAATGAAAGAGTTAAATTGGCTCAAAAGCAACCAGCTCTAGCAGCCAGAGGGCAGATTTAAAGGCTCCTGGATGTGGACCAATAAACAACAAGCATCTGTAAAATCAACAACAGACATAAAACAGGATTCATGACGTTTTTCAGTGTTTAACACATCAATTTGAAAGTTGTGCAAAATACAATGTTAAATTATATATTTTTTATTAAACAAAATGATTTTCATGGTATTTGTGAAGATTTTGATAGTAACAGTGAATATTGTACGTTTCTAATTAGCGCAATAAGTCCGATTAGTAAATATTCAGAGGTTACCAGAAGGCTTTTTAAAGTTGCGGGTCATTATCATTCCACAAACACCGAAGCGCAGTCCTGTGCAGCGACGGCTATTTCCGTACAGTGGGGCGCTGTTTGAAATTCCACCCCTCTGCCTTTGTTGTGCACAGCAAGGGGCGGGAAGACAAACAGGTCTGCGTGTATAAAGAGATCATCCCGGGACTTGGAGTCAGGAGACATCTCAGCATCGCGCTGAAACTTTCTGGAAAACTTTAGGATTCAAGAATCAAGGCCGTTTTGGACTTAGATTTTTTTCCCCTTCAGCAAAACGGAGAGGATTTTTTTTATTTTTCTGTGTTTTTGACAGAATCAAGTAGGAAAATGATGCAGATGCTGCTGGCGCACCGCTTCCTGGCTGTGTATCTCACTCTGTTTGGATGCTTTGGAGACGTTTACGCGGGCGCAGTACTGATGAATTCCAACTCCATCAAAAACCTGCCCGGTGCTCCGGCTGGCAAGGGCGTTGAGGCTGTCAGTCCGAGTCCGCGCACCCCACCCTCCGGTGGCACGGGACTCAAATTGCCCGTGGACACCTTGCAGGTAATTGGCGCAGCTGTGCGTAAAAGTCCTGCCTCTGTTCGTCATGTTCACAGTACGTTTATTTTATAACAGGCATATCTTTTGTGACAGGCTGCTTTTGCTTTTATCACACTATAGCAGCCAGGTGTTTGCACGGATAGTGAAGACTGCGGGGGGGATGAGTTCTGCAACGAGGCTCGAGGTGTGTGTCTGCCCTGCCGTAAGAACCGGAAGCGCTGCTTGAGGGACTCCGTGTGTTGTGCAGGAAGTCGCTGCAGCAACGGTGAGCAGAGGAGTCAAGTCTAAATCTCAAACCGTTTTAATATGATTTGTGCACTTGCACGTGTTCACTGTTCCAAACACAGAACATGTAATGCATTTTTCTCTGGATTTGTCCTTTTTTAGGTGTTTGTCAGACCAGCGACATGCACGACTCTGATGCATCCATCCCTGCTTTGCACAAACACAACACCACCATGGAGCACCTAGGCAAGAGGCCCCCTGCTGCCCATGGGTTTCAGCCTAGTGCTGTCAAAGGTACATCTCATGACAAGAACCATCATTCTTATTTTACACAACCCTGAATCATGTTTTCAGTGGTGTAATGTTTCTAACTTCTCCAGGCCAAGAGGGTGACACGTGCCTAAGGTCGACAGACTGCTCCGAGGGCCTGTGCTGTGCCAGACACTTTTGGTCTCGCATCTGTAAACCTGTGCTGACAGAGGGCCAGGTGTGCACACGCCACCGCAGGAAAGGCAACCACGGATTGGAGCTATTCCAGCGCTGTGACTGTGGCGAGGCCCTGGTGTGTCGACCGGAGAAGGGAGAGCGAGATCCCAGTGTCAGCAGGACGGCGGGCCGGAACCTACACACCTGTCAGAGACGCTGAGGCCACCACACAGATGCACACGCAGAGACAGAAACACACACGTCAATAAATCAGTGACAGACAACTGCAGACATTGACAAATATGCCTTAGTCTTGTGTATACCAAAGATGCTGACACACACACACTCACACCAGGACACCTAAGACTGTTCTTTCCTGCCAAAGTAGCTGACACAAATGCCTCATCCGGAAGGATGGAAAAAAAAATCCAGGAAAAGCGATACACCCTGAGGGATGCAACAGAGTGAGATGAACTTCTCCAGTTCCCCATCGACAAACGAAGAGTCGGAAGTTAAGGAAGTGACGTTTCAGAAGTGTTTGGAGAATCGATTCATGTTGTCAGCTGCGGCAGAGCTGTTTTGTTTCTCTTTTTATGGAACTTCGAGCCACGGTTATTGCAGTAAATTACTGCACTGTAAATAATATTCTGCTGGTGGCACATTGAATTTAGTCACCGCCAGTGTAATAAAGACATGGTGCTGCATGATTTTCTGTAAATATGTTATATATATTATATATATTGTTTTATAAGAAAATATACAGAGAAAATGTGAATATTTGTTTTATTAAATGTCTCATCATAACCTTACTCCTTCTGTTCATTGTTCTTTTGCACAAAACTCAAAACTGAAATGTTAAAATGCAACTGGAATACAAACTTTAAACACCCAAATATGACATTCTTTGCCGCTTAACATGTTTTAATCCAACCGCTTTGACGAGTCAGCGCTGAAGCTTCAGCATTATGCATGCAATAGTAAATGAAGGCTGTCATCATGTGAATACAGAACAGGATGTGACCATATCAAATGAAAACTGCTAATAACAAAGCATAAGTGTCCTGCTGAGCACTTGCCACTTAAACCTTTGCTGTGGGCTAGTTTCTAATTATGACTTATTTATGTGCTGCAGAGCAGATAGCTAACTATCCTGAGTTAAAGCCTCTAATTACCTCACCTTACTCAATCTGCACGAGGATTCGTGAAATGAGGAGCGGGGCAGCACTTTTTTGTGATGCAACCAAAAAAAAAAGGGATTTTGCCTCCCAGTCTTTGCGATCTCTGCAAATGCACAGCACACCACATTTCCTGGCTTGTTAGGCAATGGATGTGCTCTAATATGTCTTCCATAAAATTTCTCAAACACACCTTGGTCCCTGTAATTAGAGCTGTTCAGATTAGATGACGGTGAGGAAATGTCTGTGCTTATTTTTTGTTTGTTTGATTCTCTGGACTGATCAAAAGAAGCTGGAGAAAAAAGGCCAAATATGTGTTCATCTGTTTATGTTTCTTGACACATTTGAAGTTTGGCTGTGGAAGGCTGGAGTTTAGTAAAATCAGGGATGAAAATATGTCTGTAATCCAACTACTTTTCTAAATACTTCTACTTATTGTTTCTTTTTTAGGGCATATAAAAAAACGCAAGTTTTCTTGACAATGCATGAGAAATGGTGGCAACATAGTCGACCACAGTATGTGGGACTGTAGCGCCGGGAGCTCTCCTGCCTGCATAATTAAATAGAAGAGTATGTCAAAGTTGGGGTGATTGTAATTAAATCCATCACGGACATCATTTACTACTGACTTTTCATGGAGCCATTTCATTTTGCGGCATTGCTATTTTTATTAAGCGGGGCAGCGTTAATAACCGTTTCACTTCTGCTGAGGACAGACACAACAATTTAAACATTTTAATTTCCATTCTTTAGAGTAATTGAGAGTAATGGGAGCATTGTCAGCAACACAATTTACCACATGGGCCCAGCCAAGTCATGTCTGTGGGGGTCCTGGAGTCTGTGGGAGTGTTTGTGAGCCTGTCATCATTACAGCAGCAGCCACAGACTCACACAGGCCACAGGCATGCGCCTCGACTCAAGGACGGCCAGACAGCGTGTGTGTGCATGCGTGTATGTGTGTGTTAATGCACTTCTCACACACACACACACACACACACACACACACACACACACACACACACACACACACAGCTATGATACATTTCGTGGACTCTGGAAAAACAGCAGTGACGAAAACTGCCCCGAGATGCCGCTGCGCACGCATTCGTGCCCCCACACGCCACTTAACAGCTTTCATGCATTCGCAGACACAGTGTGTGTGTGTGTGTGTGTGTGTGTGTGTGTGTGTGTGTGTGTGTGTGTGTGTGTGTGTGTGTGTGTGTGCTCATGTATAGGTGTATGGGGTGTGTGAGCTAGTTCAAGGAAAAGCGCCGTCACACACACTGTGGCAACCATCAACATTTAGTGTTGTCACATCGTCACACGTGCTTCACAACAACACATGTAGATCTGTGATCTACTTGTTGTATTTGACAGGGACAAACATGAAGCTGGCAGTTTGAGATTTTTTGGATGTGATATGTGTTATCTCCTCTCGCCATCTATGATTTATACTAAACGCTTGATCTGGTTGAGTTCATGTTCAACTGCCGTTGTTATTCTGGAGCTGGTGCCAAACACTCTTGATCGACATCCCAGAGTTAACAAATTCACAAGAGAACCACCGGAGATCAAAAGAGCGAAGAAATGAAGCAGGGCGTGCAGACGCAACGCATGTTATTTTGTCAGATGAAAGAACTGGCACAATTCTGGGATGAGTATTCTGATTACAATGAAAAAAAAAGCATGCAAGCTCTTATGTAAACAACATTTCACAGGGAGGTGTCACACTTCTGTATGCTGGCAATAATCCCTAGAAGACACACAATGCCCACCATTCATCTTTGTGGTTTGACGATCTGAGCGGTTGAGCAATACGGGTAAATCACCCTGTCCTTGGGAAATAATAATTAAACAAAGGGCAACTCATTCGGCACAAGGTGATGAGTGTGAATCCAGGTGGCGAACAGGTTGGTTCCACTTCTTTAAGTCCGGGGTGATGTCAACGCAGCGGGGTAAACAAGGGCTTCTCAGATCGAAGTGATGACGCGTTCTGCTTTGATTGGGTTTCGTGTTTCGCCTCGGTGATTACTTCTCTCTCTTGTTTCCCGTGTCTTTGTTTCTATTTGTTGAACGGCGCTCCTCTTCATTTTTTGATTTGGTTTTGTTTACATCTCAACCCAGTTCCGAGGCATAAATGTTGTTTCCAATCACGCCATGAGAACACGGCTTGTGTTGCTGCATTGGGAAACAGGAGCCGCCGAGCGGATTACCATAAAAACCCGGCAGATTTAGCTCTGACACTCATCGTGGACATTGCTTCACGTTCATAGAGATAAAAGATAAAAACACTTTTACTAGATTTGCTTGTAGGTGTTGAGTTTCATCACTCACACAGCCATGCTGTGGTTCCCCAGCTTTGTTTGGTAAGCAAAAGTTTTGTTTTGGTCTTTGGAAACACAAAGAGGCAAAATCTGGGAACCTGGAAGTAATCTGAAGACACCGGGATGCTTTTTACAGCATCTGTAATTTACCTTTCCAGGTTCTTCCAAGACATTTGGTGGTGTGCATATTAGTCCCTGTATGTGTAACTGGAACTTACACTGAAGATGACTGGAAAACCACTAATAAAGCAGAACAATTAAAAAAGCTATGAGGATGTTGAAATAAAATTTGCTGCCTTATAATATTAATATCTTTTGGAAAATTTGTAATAGGATAAGCTCAATTGTCCCACTTTTTAAAAGAAATAAATATATAGAAAGAAAAAAGTTAGATATAGACCATTTAAAACAATTCAAATATTTTTATACTTTTACATACCAAAAAATATATTTTTAATCACCTGTTAGTTGATTTTATTATCATTGATATGCAAAAAACACATTTTTCTCGTTAAAGCTACAATGGCAAACGAGGAAAACATATGAGCTTAAAATATTTTAAACATTTCTTAACAACATTCTAATACAGTATAGATACAAATTTATTGTGGAGATTAAAAAAACATGAAAAAAAATTATAAAGTGGTTTTCTTGCATTTGTCTAAAAGCCTCTAATAACACTGAATGCATTTTAAAGTTCTTTTTTTTAAAGAAAATTTTTTAAAAATAACTTAAAAATACATTCAGAAGAAAAATACAGAATGTACAAAAGACGTCTAATAGCACATTCCAGGTCTAAAGCAACCCTTGGATGATCCAGTTGTCAGTCTAGCCGAACTGCTGCACTTCCTTGAGTCCTCCACTCATTACGATCTCACATATTTAGCAACAAAACACCATAGGTGCGAGAAGTTGGACCTACAAAACGGTGATGGGTTCTCATGTCCTCTGGTAAAGTGGTTCTCTGGTTCTGGCAGAAGCATCTTAAGGAACATACCAAGGGAAGGGGTAAGTGTTCTGTGACCATATTTGCATTCAAAACCTAGCTTGTTCTGAAAATTTGTTAAAGCAGCTTTAAATAAAAGTTTTTCAATACATTTTTGAATATTTTGTTAAAAGAAAACTTTTACCTTACGTGATCAAAAATGTGTTGTTTTTCAAAAAGAAGCTGCAGACCTCCTGAGTATACTCTGTTTTATCATATTACTGGGTTTCACTCACGTGACTCTGCAGTCGCTCGAAATTCATGTGGGGGGCAGGACGTGTTTTGCTCCACAACAAAACAGCACGATGAAAGCGATTTTACTAAAGTTGTAAATGAGCTGGCAAAGATCCGATATGCAAAAAAATACATTTTCCTTAAGGTCATGACCCATATAGTTTTAAAAGTCTAACTTTTCATACACTGTGAAGGATTTACCTAGCGCTGAAGCGATCAGCATAACTGCCTTGTGCTGCATGCCTCATATTACAAATATGTTACCAAATGAAAGCCTTTTACAAGCCTGGAAGCCTGCAGCTATTTTATTTCAGGTTGGTTAACCTTTTAGTGATCCAGAGACGCTTTAAATGACAATCATCTTGTTTTGCCTGGGTAAGTAGTGAGTTGTGCTATTTTAATTCATTAGCTCATGATAATAATGCTATTGCTAATGATCAGTATGTGCTAGGATCTACTTGTAACTAACTTTTTATGTCTTCTAAATTCCAAATTTCTGGTACGTTTGTTTGATTTTAATAAGATATAAACGTCACGTTACAACATTAAGCTAAGTGCTAAAAACATGAACACTCTAAAAGCTATTTGAGGGAAAGACACGTAAAAACAGCATTATACTGTTAATCTGTCTGGTTATTTATTTATTTATTTTTTATTGGGTCCTTTGTGGCACACTACATTCGGGACTTGAAGAAAAAGTTTGTCTTAGTCCTGATTAGAGTGATTGTAATAACTAGACCGACTAGACATTCTGCATTTAATATCCAGACACCAAAGTAATTAGCGTTCTGTGCAGCGCCAGCTACTTCAGGACCACCATCTGCATTTGGTAACATAGATGCAGAGTCATGTGAAACCCAGCAATTTAGGGCAATATTTCGTAAAAAGAATCTCATGTTGTGTGTCTTCGTGCTGCTGGGAATCCATTTAGTGTCAGCTGCACCAAAGCTTGTCCCATAGTTCTTATTTTTGTTGGAGAGTAAAAGAACTGTTCAGTGTCACATCTTCTCAAAACGAACATTTGTGTCCCATTTTTGATTCTTTTTTTAAAACACAGAAAAAGGTTTTTCTTTACCTTGCTGACAATTTTG